CTAGACCAGAGGATGTACACTGGTACAGATAGGAACTGGAAACACAGGGAATCCAGGACAGATGAACCCCTCAGGACGAGTGGTGAGAGTGGAGATACCGAGAGGGTAGAGGGAAGGTAGGGTACAAAGGGGGAACCGATTGCAAGGATCTACATATAACCCCCTCCCTGGAGGATGGACACAGAAAAGTGGGTGAAGGTAAACGTTGGACAGTGTAAGACATGACAAAATAATAGTAATTATAAATTATCAAGGGCTCATGGGGTGGGGGTGGGGAGGGAGGGGAAAAATGAGGAGCTGATACCAAGGGCTCAAGTCGAAAGAAAAATGTTTTGAGAGTGATGATGGCAACTCAATGTACAAATGTGCTTGACACAATGAATGTATGTATGGATTGTGATAAGAGTTGTATGAGCCCCCAATAAAATGATTCTGAAAAAAAGAGAGAGAGAGAGAGAGAGAGAGAGAGAGAGGACTGGGAACTGGAAGGGGGACCATCTCTAAACCTATGAAAACTGTTATGGTCTTACTCTGGTGTTAATGTTAATACTTTTGTAGAGATGACTTACATGTTTCAAACTTTGAACAATCTAAGTGGGTTTACCATGAACAGCACACCGTAGTTTGCTATCTCCCCCATCTGCCTAGGGCCCAGCTCTGTAGCTAGTCAGCAGCTTCATTGTTTCCTTCCAGGGCTACAGTTTGTATGTGTTGCATGTATGAAATATATATCTGTATGTGAAAATGCACACATTAGCTCCAACTCCGTTAGAAGAAACAAACATACACAGGATGTAGAAGTGCCTTCTTGTAAAGATCCAAATATTCACATTTAGAGAGGTTCCCTTACATTGCTATACATCTGATCTTCAGAGGAAGTATGCGTACCCAGGTCTGTCTCCATAATTTTCATGATTACGTTTACATTATTAATGTTAAAGATTTCCAGGGCTATGTTGGCAGGAACAATAACCACTTTTAATGTCTATACCTTTCAGTTGAAGCAGACAGGCCGCAGGGAGCAGTTCTTGCACATTCTCCACTGTCACATGTACTGTTTCTGTGTACACAAAGTCCAGTAGAATTTCCATGGTAGAAGCAGTTAAACCTTGGATATCAACATAAGGTTTCCCCTTCTCAGAAAGCTGAAAATTGAAATGATATAAAATAATTGTAATGTGATTTCAAATGATAAAGGTCAAATCTCCTATCAAAGAGTTCGAAGACATATTATTAATTAAATGTCTTTTAAAAAGTATGGTCTTAAAGCCCTAACCTAAGAACAATCAGTTCTTAAGCTGTGGCCCTGCTTGACACCCTCATGAAGGGATCACAGAAGAGATGGGTGCCACAACAAAGTATGGCGAAGAAATCAGATGGTGTCTAGCTAGCAGAAAGAGCAGCATTGGGGGAGGGGGGTGGGTGAAAAATGCCAGGGGCTTAAGTGGAGAGCAAATGTTTTGAGAACGATGAGGGCAATGAATGTACAAATGTGCTTTACATAACTGATATATGTATGGATTGTGATAAGAGTTGCATGAGCAACTAATAAAATGATTAAAAAAAAATAGCATCGGAGGGTGGGGGGGTGGGGAGTGGGGGAGTGGCGGGCTACAGGCTTGTCTTAAAACAAGTAGTCATCTAACTGGGTGCCAGCTAATCCCAGAGAAGCAGCACACCAACCTGTGTGATCCATGGATTATAAATATGTAATTCAAGATCAGAGGAAAGAATTGAATTTGAGTTTAGATTCTCATCACTAGGTTTGCAGAAAGCTATGGATAATAACCAACCCCAAAGCCATATGGGCAATCTCCATATGGATTGTCTCCATTGAATTCTCATGGACCACAACCAGGGATGTGAAAAGCCTTGCCCACAGATAGAGTGCATCAGAAAGTGAATTAATATATAAATAGTTAGGTTAAATTTTGCTATCTCAGTATTTGTTTTCCCTCTCGACTTATTTTAATTTGTTCTAGCTTTTAGTATTTTCTACTTGCTTTTGGATTGAGGTTTTACTGTTCTGTTATTGGGGGGAGGGTTTAAGTCTGATTTTCTTTATATGAAATCCAGGGTAGTAACTAGATTAACAATTTCTTAGGGTTATGGCAGGGTAGGTTAGCGAGAAATGGGGAACCAATAATCATAAGTATGAAAATGTTTTAAGGGCAACCGATTATAAGGATCTACATATAACCTCCTCCCTGGGGGACAGACAACAGGAAAGTGGGTGAAGGGAGACATCAGACAGTGTAAAATATGACAAAATAATAATAATTTATAAATTATCAAGGGTTCATGAGGGAGGGGGAGGGGGAGGGAAGGAAAAAAACGAAGAGCTGATACCAAGGGCTTAAGTAGAAAGCAAATGTTCTGAGAATGATGATGGCAACAAATGTACAAATGCTTGACACAATGGATGTTTGTATGGATTGTGATACGAGTTGTACGAGTCCCCAATAAAATGATTTAAAAAAAAGAAAAATTCAGAAGAGAAAAAGGTAGCAGGTTAGCAAATGAGCCTTAAGGTACTTCAGAACCACCATAGTTCCTTTCATCGTAGATGAAAATATATTTTATAGCAATTTCTGTTGAAGTTTTAAATTGATACATTAAAAATTATTAATGAGAAAAAAAAATGTTTTAAAATGGATTGCGGTGATGAATGCACAATTTTTTCATATATTCAAACCATCGAATTGTATGGCACATGAATTACATGCCAATAATATGCCCAAAGTAAAAAAACTAAATAAAAGTTTAAAAAACAAATGATAAATTTATACTCTATTTTATTTGATTTACATAAAGCACATACGGTATATATTTGCACTATTTTTGTGACTATCTAGCTTTTTAAACTATGGGGAGGTAGTCTCAAATTGGGGGTGTGCAGAGGAATAGTGTTAGTACCTTCCTGAAATACCAATTTATCTCATAAGTTAAAAAATGGCTTTCATATCAAAACAAACATAGGTGTACTATAGAATAGGATACAAGTCCCATGAACACACAACTAATCACTAAGGCTCATCAATATTTGTACTCGGCACACAGTACTAGCAGATCGAGACCACTCCCTGGAGGACAGCATGCTTGGTAAAGGAGAGGGGGTCCCAATCGCAAGGATGGACACAGAGCACCCTCCCAAGGGGATGAACAACAAAAAAGTGGGTGAAGAGAGATAGTGGTCGGTGTGAGACATGAAACAATAATTTATAAATTATCAAGGGCTCATGAGGGAGGGAGAGTGGGGAAACGGGGAAAATGAGCTGATACCAAGGGCTCAAGTAGAAAGAAAATGTTTTGAAAACGATGACAACATATGTACAAATGTGCTTGACATACTGGATGTATGTATGGATTGTGACAAGAGTTATAAGAGCCCCCAGTAAAATGATTTTAAAAAGAGGGGGCCAGCGATAAAGAGGAAGATCTTCAAGGAGACGGACTGACATAGTAGCTACAACAATGGGCTCAGCATTAAACACTGTGATGATGGTGCAGGGCTGGACAGTGTTTTGTTATGTTGTCCATAGGCTTGCTCGGAGTTGGGGCCAACTTGACCGTACCTAACAACAAGTGTACCCTGTGACCCTCCAGGAGGGCTCAGTCCCCATCATCTGTCCTTAGACTACGCTTGGTAATAAAGAAGGCATTTACAGGCCAGTTTAAGGAGCCTTCTGCTGACACACTATCCAAACATAACTTACCTGTCTGATACTTTTAAAAAACATTGGGTTAACCCTAGCTTTTGACTAGGAACTATAGGTGATATAGTTAGTCCAGAATATCTCATTTCAGTTAAAAGTATTGACGAGGTCAGATAAACATTGTTTAGCTCAGGGTGAAAATCTTTAATTTTATAAGATAGTAAACTATTTGCAAACTGATTACCTTAAGAAAATGTTACTAGATCTTAACCTAGTCTAGAAATTCTTATGCTCACAAAATTCCATTGCATTTCCATTATAAAATGCCTTGATTACCTTGATTCTTCCAATTAGCACGGAGTAATAGTTAAAAAAAATTCCTCTACCAAAGCCAAGAATAAAACCAATCCCTAATATTGAAAAAAGCCACTAGTATATTATTTTTGAAAAATAAAATCAGATTATTATGAAATATAGCCATTACTAATGATCTTACACTCAAGTATAGGGGTACACTTATTTTAGAAGTTTCTCATTCCATAAATTGTATTTCCACCAGCAAAACTGTTCACATATGGAAATGTTTTTACTATGTGATAATTTGAGTAATCATATCATTTCATGTTTATATTTGCTTTATAATTTTTCAGAATGTTTATTATTTATTATTTCATTTGATTCTCATAATAATTTCAAAGTTTATAACCCGACCAAGGTCATTTACCTAAACTTAATAAGCGACAAGAGATAAAACCCAAGTTCTTTCACTGCCGGCATGTGATCTTTTAAATGGCCCGCAGGTGAAGCGCACATCAGAGCTGCACCAGACCTCGGGAGCCCTCCAGGGCTTCACAGTATTTCACAGGTCAGCTCGGTGAGGGCCGATGGCTGTGGTTGGTGGTTCATACAGAACTGCTAAGATCACAGAACCTAGAGTCCAGGTCTCTGTATGCACTCCTTTAAATCAACACTCTTAACAATGAAAACAGAATCATTTGGCATCTTTTTGCCTGATGTCACTTTTTAAAGGAAGATTAGACAGTTATCACTGATGAGAAATGAGAATTCTCTAATTTCTAAAGGTGTAGAGAAGGGGTGGTAACAGACTAATTTTCTTTTTTTTGGAAAGAAGTATAATTCTTTTTTTTAATTTACAAAAATTTTTAAAACTTTCTATTTATTTATTTTTTTAATCGCTTTATTAGGGGCTCATACGACTCTTATTACAATCCATACATACATCAATTGTGTAAAGCACATTTGTACATTCATTGCCCTCGTCATTCTCAAAACATTTGCTCTCCACTTAAGCCCCCGGCATCAGGTCCTCATTTTTTCCCCTCCCTCCCCGCTCCCCCCTCCCTCATGAGCCCTTGATAATTTATAAATTATTATTTTCAGACTAATTTTCTTCAAGCTGACAGGATGCGCTGTATGTAATTAGTAGTCAGTAGTCCTAATGCATTAGGACTTCATGCTCAGCAGCTGCTGACACACTTTCCTTCCTAGTTAAACGCCAACTGCTTTTGATGCTCTTGGGCAGATTATCATGAAGGACGTGTAGGATACAGATCTGTAATGCCACATTACACACCACCATTTAGAAATTAGCCTGGATTAACTAGAAGGACTTGTTAGGTTTCTATGGCTTTCCTAACAGTCACGTGACAAGAGCATTGGTTCATAGCACCATCAATTATTCTGGTTTTTATTTCAGTAGTTAAAAATTATTTGAGTATTAGCATTAAAAATTAGGATTATATTTTATCTCTACCATTCATAAGCCATGCAACATTATTCCTTCATTTAAAAAATAAGATAGCTAATATCCACCCCAAGGCTAAGTGAGATATATATATATACACAGATAATCACCTGCCACAGAGTGTGGCCCATAGTAGGTAGTTATTATCATTATGATGACCACCTCTCCTATTCAGATCCAGCAGCAACATCTTCATTAAGTTAAGGAGATTAACTAAATACTGATGTGCAATAAGATTTCTTAAAAAGTGTTATTATGATTAAACATTTTGGGCATTCATAATGATATAATAAACATTGGTACATGATGCACTCAGTTTAAAAAAATCAAGATAATTTATTTAGCCCTATTTTTCTTTTATTTATTTATTAAAAATAATTTTATTGGGGGCTCATACAACTCTTATCACAACCCATATATACATTAATTGTGTAAAGCACATTTGTACATTCGTTGCCTTCATCATTCTCAAAACATTTGCTCCATTTAAGCCCCTGGCATCAGTTCATTTTTCCCCTCCCTCCCTGCTCCCCCTTCCCTCATGAACCCTTGATAATTTATAAATTATTATTTTGTCATATCTTACACTGTCCAATGTCTCCCTTCACCCACTTTCTGTTGTCTGTCCCCCAGGGAGGAGGTCACATGTAGATCCCTGTAATCGGTTCCCAAGCCCTATTTTTCAAACCACACTTGGGATCTTGAAAACAAAACAGGTCTATCTGTCACTGTGCTCAATTGTCAGAGTGCCTCACAATGTATTCAACAGGCTTAGTCCACAGCTGAAGCGTTTTGGCAGGCAATTGTTAAATAGTCTTTCTTAGTCCTTTGTGAACATTATCGTTTTCCTTGTCAAGCCAACCTTTTCCCAGTTCCTTATACTCTACCCACAGTTTCTTTTGCAAGTTATACTCCATAGATCTGTACACCTGTTCCCTTCACTGGGCATCCCTCTACATCTATGTTGACAGAACGAATACAGATTTCCTTCACATTGTTAGAAGGAACGCCATGAGGACCGAATCCCATTCCTCTTTCCATCCCTTCTCTCTACCTGAGTCATGTTCATGTTTAGAGGGAGAAAAGTAAGAAAAGAACTTTCAAAGAAAGAAAGTAAAACCCAATAGTTGATCTGAGCTTTTTTCCTACATGCTAGACACTGCCCTAATGACGTAACGTGATTTGTTGAAGACCGTGTTATTGTGCATCATTGTTATACCTCGTTTAGAGAAACCAGCCCACCGTCGGGCGAAGGGGCAGACCTTTTCCAGACCCTGCTCATCTACCGCCCCGCTGTAGAGATTCATGGCCACACCAACAAACCCACGGCCCCAAGTCAGCCCGGCTCAGGGATGCCACAGCGCAAGTCAGAACACCCTGAGTGTCTGAAGCTGGCATTTCCCCAAACCACTGTCTTAGGAACTAATGCAGACACCGTACCATTCCATAGTTCAATCATATCAAGCAGTGCGTATAAATGCTACCAGAATCAGTTTCTTTCTTCTTGAACTCCTTGCTATCAGCTCCTCCTTAACCTCTCCCCCTCCCCCCACAGGCACCCTTATTCTAGTTGATGTCTCTCTAGTCACCCATCCTGGGTTTCACAGACTGAAAAACAGAAAAACAAAACACACAACCAAGAGTCAAGAAAGCTAACAACAATGACAAGATACACAGAGAGAAACCCACATTATGAAAAACAAAACAAAAAGCCACAGAAAATATTGAAAACCAGATGAAGCCCAAAGTGTACCAGAAGGGAAATGAAGCGACAAGGTTTCAATCATTCAAGTCAGATCTGTCATTTTAATCCACTGTAGTCTTCTCTCCAGTGCTGTCTGATAACCAGGTTATTCCCACCCCTCAATTACGGCTACAGAAAAATCACCAGGGGCTTATTCCCTATGCAGTTCCTGCACGTGTACTTTGGGCTTCCATAGCCTTCTGCAGACCAAAATCTCCCAGTCTTAAGCTCTGACACTATTCCCTTCTTCAGCTTTGGATGATATAATGTACAACCCTTGGATGGGGTTGTACATTATATCACAGGCGCAGAGAGCTTCATCTTTCTCCCACTGAGAGGCTGGTCGGTTTGAACCGTCAAGGTGCCCTTAGCAGTCCACCATGTAACCCACACTGCCACCACAGTCCTATTCTAGTAAAACGCGTTTTCGTTTAGCAGAGAGAAACAGCTGCATGAGCTCTGCCTGAGTCTCCTTGCCACTTACCTCACTAGTGAACATGGCGCAAAAGTAATCGCTGCAGGCAGCCAGCACAATGCGGTGCGCAGGGAAGTCTTTCTGCTCTACTCTCAGTGTCACGTCGCAGAGGGTGTTGCTCTTGCGGAGGGAGTTCATTGAATTGAGGATGGATTTAGCATGAGTGTTGGTCATTATGTCTTTGGGGGCCATAATGTCTCCCAGTAAGCAAGATGGAGAAAGGAGAAAGGGAGTCGTTGGATCCTGCAACTGAGAGAAAGGGGGAAAATACAGCAATGTGAAAGACGAGAGGAAAGAGTACACAATTAACTTTAAAATTTAAGGAACCTAAAATTAAGGAACTAAGAGTTTCCTCAAACCCAAGTCTCCGGAAGCAGAGAATGTAGTGCCTCCTGGTATCGGCATCGCTGTCACACACAATCTCAACTAGCCTAAGTAAGCAAGCTCTTCTTTCTCTGAATGCCAGTGTCACTGAGTGTCCCTGCCACCTGATTTTTATTATGATCAATATCAAATTATACTGTTTGAGGAGAAAGACGTTATACATGTCCTGCAGTTCTTTACAAGTTTGTTGTCTCAAATGGTAAGATTCCTTAAAGGTGAGAAACATGACTATCTAATATCCATAGGTTGCTATGTATTCAGAGGTAAGGGGGCATCTTGTTTTATTAAATATATGTCTTTCTATCCTCACAAGTGCACAATCAATTGTAATTGAATATAAGAAAAATTGTGTGCTCAACTTAACAGCAAGAAAAGCCAGAGGAAACGAACTTTTTCTATAGCGTACATAAACATATTACTGATATGATCTTCAAATGCACCTGGATTTCTTCTTCTAATGAAACTCCAAATGAGAATCCAGCATCTACACTAAGCAGAACACATCAAGCTGCCTATGGACTTTCACTTGATTAAGCACTTGAAGCTCCTGGACAGAAGGGGCTTCCCACTCCAAGTTATGAGCAAATGTCCATCAACATTAAGAGATGGATATTTGCAGGTATTCTTCTCCACTCAGTCTCACTAGAAATCAACCTATGAGAACTCCACTTACTTTACTGTCATCGCTAGTCACCTGCAGAGTCCACCTGCACACATCAGTACAATAAATTCACCAATACATTACTCACTAAAAAACCAACTTTAGTAGCACTTTCATTGTTAACAGGTTTTAAGTCACACTTTTTTCTTCTAACGCAATGTCTGGGGAATGAAATGAGGTGGGCTAAAGAGTGTTTATCCGATTTGGAAGCCAAAACTTTCTGATAAAAATATATTGATATATGCATCATATCAAGGTGTTGTCTTGCAGACTCCATTACTAACGACCATTATTACATTTGAGTAGCAAAATGAGCTCCTCCCCTAAGTCCTCATCGTTTCTTGCCAGCATGTTATTCAATAAGTACGCTAGGAAGCTCCGCAAGACCCATTTTACAGAAAAGGAGGGGAGTCGTGCAAACCTAGGCGACCCTTTACAAGAGGCATTTCACGAAGTCACCTTTAATTTCAACTCCGTGGGGGGCGGGGGGGGGCTAGGAAAGGGCTGACCAAATGCTCGTTCACACGGAAGACTTTCTTGGGGAGGCTTATTGTTGCCGTGTCAACGCGACACGGATCCTAATGCAGTATGGCCTTCCCGGCAGGTGCCATCAGCCTCCCCGCTAGGGTGGCCTGTTCTAGAACTTGCATTGTCAGCGGCTGAGCGGAGGGCAGTTCCACCACGGGAATGGGGCAGGCAGGGCCGCGGGTTGGGGAGCGCGGTGCAAAGGCGGTCCCCTCCGCGACGGGCGCGGCGCTCGGGGCCGGCACGC